GATATGGTCATTTGTTCTGGGAATGTCATTTTCGAGCCTGAGACCTGAAAAACAGGCTCAGGGCTTAAGAGGTTAAAGCAGCGGGAGCAAACGCTTGCCTCGGGGAGGGAGAACAAAAGCCACAGCGGAGAATAAACAGAAGGGTAACCATGGTAACTATGGGCGGGAAGTCTTCTTCGCTACTTTTGTGGCAGACTACAGCGCCACTTACAGGCCTGGCATATGTACTACAGTGTCTCCAGCGCTTTCGAGCGGCAATGGCCGGCCGTGGCCCAACCCCACATTCCCCTGATAGGTGGAGAGTTGGCCCAATAGCCGTAGCGCCACTTCTGTGACGACATAGAAGTGTTCAAATCTGGATCAGTCTGTATCAGATCCGTTGCAGCCCCTTTTTTAGAGATTTGGGTATGGAGGAAAATAGAGAGGGTTGTGTTTTCTGACACTTGGTGAGTTCCCTGGAACACCGGGGACACATATTCATGTATAAAAGACGTACAAAAGTGCATTTTGCATGATAGGTCCCCTTTAAGTTTATTTACTAGTGTTTTCCTTGTTTAACATTGTCCATTGCATACAGACTTTGTTTGGATAAGTTCATTCATTTGGTTTTGTTATTTAAGTTTATATACTAGTGTTTTCCTTGTTTAATATTAATCATTGTGTGCAGACTTTATTTGGATAAGTTAATTTATTTGGTTGTATTTGTTTGGTTAATTATTTAGTTGTTTATTTAAGTGTAATACTGTGTGGAGGTTTTAACCGTCTTCCTCTTGTCAGACAGGTGCTGTGGGCCTGAGGCGGCAACCCCAATCCCTGGTGGTGGTGTTCTTCACGAGTCCTGTTGTTTGGTTTGCGGTGTCACGGGTGGTTTTGAGTTGGACCCTTCCCCCTTTTTGATTTATTGCTGCCTGGTAAGCCCCAGCCCTGTCTTGTACCTCCTATGTCCCAGTATTCACTTTTAGCTGATTGTATAATGTGTATCTGGTGTTTTTAGAATAGTTAATTGATTGTTATAAAGTAATTGTGTTAACTGTAACTGAAACTGTCTCTTGCCCGTTATGTAAATGAACCTGTGTTCGTTCCTTGTGGGTTAAATCTTTTATTATCAATAGTTAGTTCCTAGGGGTGAAACTCCCTTAGGTGGCGTTGTTGGCAACACAAACTCTTACCTACACCACACCGTCCCACTGCATTTCCATTACAGTTTAGTAGCTGGGGCAGTAACTATAGTAACGCAGTGTAGGCGGAGCCGTGACGTCATCTTCAATGCGAACCACAGAAAACCAACATCAGCCGTTAGATGTTAGCACTCAAGCTCACAGCTCCTCATATCTGTTCAGAAACTAGACAAAAGTTAAACAAGTACAAACCACAGACTGTCTGTGTCATGGCGAACACAGTCGCTGGTTTATTTATGTCTGTAGGCCGTTGTTGTGAGTGTGGACGGTCGGAGCATATACTGCGTTAGCTTAGCCGATCTCCATTTAGAAAACACGCATTTTAAAAGGTTTTTCGCCTGCCGTCTGTCTGCAGACTTGACAAAGCATTAATTCATGGTTTTTACTAACCGGTATCAGTATGTTGTTACTTCGGCATCATTTTGAAATGTGTATTACAATTAAAATCACGGTCAAATATGTTCATCTTGTTGTAGTTGTAGCCCCCTTGCCAGCGATTCTCTCTCTCTCTAGTTTAGCATACTCAGCCCGACTAAGCCTGGTTGTTGGCCCGCTAAGAACCTCGATTTTATTGGGCCAGAAAAACTGTGAAATAGTACCCGCTAGCCGGTACTACGCCAAGTGGAAACGCAACCAATAACGGGCTGTGCACGGCACGGCACGCTTAAACCGTGCTCCGCGCTGTAGTGGAAATACGCCATTAGTAGCCAAAATGTATTAATACAGCTTCATGAAAACTTCACAAACTTTATTTTGGTAGGAAGAAGCATTAGATTAGAAAAAAAAATTGTATTAAGCTGGAACTACTTTAAATGTATACAGTTAGAGGAGGTTCAAAGCAGAAGAAGAACACACTTAACTTGTAGTGGTGCTCTCAAATGTGTTGCTGGTGTTAATTAATTAACTGAGATACCAGCTGGCTCACAAGCTAGCTAACATATCAACAGTTAAGTGGAGGGGCCATTGACTGGAGTGCTGCTGCTCAATGCTTCACAACACTGTCACTGGTAGACAGAGGCTCTGGTGGAATTACATTGGAGTCTGTGGTAATTTAGGCTTTTTGTACACCTACTTAAGGCCAGCAAACTATTTTTTTTTAAATAATTTTTAGATACTTTTTTTTATTAAAGTAGAACAATTATTTACAACACAGTGCCAAATGCGCTTGGTGCTAAAATGCAACCACAATGTTGCTCCACCTACAATGTTACTGTATTTTTACTACGTACTCTACCTTTGTATTTCTGTTGCAAGAACTCAGATCGGTAGACTAATCCTCCATTATTCCAGAACAGCAATGGTCTTGTCCCAGCCCACTTCCTTAATAAGCCTCATAGACATAGATTCCACAAGAGGCAGTAAAGTGTTATGATGTAAATTGATACAGGTTGAAAGACAGGCGCCGCATGGCAGCACGTGTTAATAGCAGCAGTTGACATGCGTTGTAACTTCAGTCAAATCACAACTACACACAGTCTAGGTGGTAAATAAAGGAAATGCTCACAGTATTTCAACCCAAACCTTATTAACACACTACAACATTGTACATACAACTTTACCCCCAGCTTAGGGTTAAAACAACTCAATTTTCTTTCATCATTAAATGTGGCAATCATTTATGACTATTGTCAGGTTTAGTCTATAAGGTGTACTTATTTATAGAAAATCTGTAAAGGAAACAGATATTTAGTAAAAATAACTCAAATCTAAATCACTTTATTAAATAGAGCTTCATTATTTAGACTCATAATACATATTGGTCAACCCCCCCAAAACCAAAGCCATGATAGAGGTTTTAATGATAAACAAACCCCTTAATGGTAATTGGCCTCATGTACTGATTACCTACTGAATTTCTCCTTGCTGGTCTGCTGAGCAGACACAAACAACCTCCTTCCCTCAGGTGGAGGTGTCCGCAGATCGCCTGTAGGGGCTGCACCTCAGCCATCTCAGGTGGCCTGGAAACCCCCTGCCCTTGCAACACACACTGAAGGCAACTGTTTTATTTTTGGAATGGCCACGGCACGGTGGCTCGCTCCCTAAGGCTTCAGTTCACTTCAGGATGAGTGGCCCTGTGGCACTCTGAGCCGGGATTAACAAGCAGAGAGCAGTTTGTCCCGACAGCCGCTCGCCGAAGGTAAACCAGTCAAACTCAGTGTCTGTTGATTGCCAAGATGGTGGTACTGCAGAGTTGTCCTGACCAATTAGCCGGGTGCTAACCTGGAAACGGTGCATTGGATTTGATAGAAGTCTGACATCTTAAACGCATGATGCATTTCAGACATAATATCTGTGAGAGGAAGTGATTGCAAAGCATTGTTTACCATGTTGTATGATTAATGACAGGTACATGTATGCATGAGACACAGATAAACAAATCCTGCACTTTAATTATAATGGCATTTCACTTTTAGTCTTACATTTTTTCTGTTGCTCACTTTTACACCAAACTTCTTTTTTTTGTGCAGCCTGCCCAACAAAACAACACCCATTTCCTTTCCCCTCTAAGGTAAGTGCTGCTCAGATTGATATTGAAGCAATGTGATGGTTACCAAAGAGCTTGATCTCCATTCTGTTTAAAAAAGTTCTTTAAAGCTGGAAAGATAGAGGTCATGGCCAACAGCTATCACCAAGCTAATCTTATACTTTCCCCTTTTGAGCTGCCCCAATAGAAGCCTCCCAGATATCCAACCCCAGAGCCATAAAAGGGGGACTTCTCATGTGTCAGCTGCCCTCCTTGTCACTGTGACTGGAGGAGTCCCTGGTATTCATGTTAAACATTTGTCCATACCGAGGCCAAACCCTCCCCGCTTTTGTTTTTCAAGACAGGGACAACAACTCCCAGGAGTTATATCTATGTTGCAACTTCCACACTTTGAATATTTAGAACAGATGTTGTAAAACTTGCAGAAAATAGCCCATTGGGTAAAACTATCCTTCTTTCAGATCAAACTATTACTAACATTACATAATAGGACAATTTAAGATAATCATCGCTCTGAAACACAAGGCTAAGCTCACAGTCGGAGCAGCTCTGAGAGGATTTGGGTTCCGGATAGATTTCCAGCAGACTGAGGCTGTTTGTGTGAGTGCGGGATAGCAGGCAGCAGGTGCTCGGTGTCAGGATGTTTGCTCTTATTTCCCCGGGTCTAAAATAAGAACGTAGACCTTATCTAGTGTTACCCAGAGATAAACTCCAATATTCAGACATAAAGGAAACAATTCAGCTCAGGTTGCCTCTTTAGTAAACCAAGTCAAAGGATGTTAAATGTCAGTCACATTTGAATATTAAATATATTTTGTTTTCATACGTCATATGTGAAAATCAACTGCGGCGAAAACTACAAACCTAATATCATCTTTATCTATTTAAATTCTGGTTGCAGAGGAATGTGTGTAAGATTTATTGTCAGTTTATTATGCTTCTGACCTTTGACCTTCTTATAGTTTGCTTGTAATGCTAATGAGGAATTTGGTCCCGATTTACTGCTGCACACATTTCAAATTTACTTTGGTTATGAAGATCAGCTTAATGCTGTCACCCCTCCTCCCAGCACAAACCGAGTCACCCTCCTGTAACTGTCAATCATCCTCCTTCGAGTTTACTTTTATTTCCTGCAGAGGTCATTTTTAAATCCGACAGTCTCCTTGAGAGACTATTTTCACAAGTAGTTTGTCATCATTTCAAAGAAGCCTGGCCATAAGTTATAGCTTTACATGCCTTTCTATTTCCAATTGTGACGCTCCTTGTAGCCGAGCAACTTCTTCAGGACCCAATTAAGAATCTTAAACCTGCTAATGAGCTGGTTGTCATGAGAGCTCATAGTTTTCTATAGCCAGCTGCAGACTTGCCTCTGAGCCATTTGCACAGGTTCAATCAGTGCAGTTGGGAAGCAGCTGTATACACTATACTAGGAACAAAGTAGGAGACTTAAGTTTGCCTACACATTAAACGACAAAGGAAGCAAAGACAGACACCAGCCAATAGCTACATTATTGATAAGACAAACAACATAAATGTGTTTAATTGATATGATTTCAGCTTAGTAAAAGGTCTACTGAATACATAGGAAGTACAAACTGAAAAAAGACTCACTCTTTGCCTCACTACCTGCTGTAAAATGAGAAGTGTCACAAGAAATGTATTATTAGAAAATTATTTTTCAACTTTAAGCTTGAATAACAGAAAATGATGAAGTGATAGTGGCTACTATTTGTGCAGTATCAATGTTGGTTTTCAGAATCCAAAAAGTCCAGCAAGTGTTTCACAGATCTTCATAGAATTGTCCAGCTGAAAAGGAAAAAATATGTCTTATTAAAAACATGTATATATTTGTTATTTAAACACAAAGAATGACCTTAATCAAATACCTCAGTGCTTATGTTGCCAGCTCCTGAGATGTCTGAATGAAATAGTACTTTCCTATATGACTCTGTATTGGAATAAAACTCAACATTTCCGACTGCTTAGTGATTAAAACATAATTCAATGCAACCGGCAACCCTTTACATTTCTGCTCTGTGTTACCTTTTCATGAGAAGTTTTGTTGGATCGTTGCTTTAATCTCTAATTTGTATTTTTGGGAATGAATTGACTCATTATACATTTTGAGGACAAATGGTGTTAAAAGCACAATTTGTGCTTTTAACACCAACTTTGATAAAACTGACTTTTACCTGACCGACTTCTTTTGATTAATACTTTGCAGGTTTTGTGTTTTGCTGTTATTCTAGAAGTAGATTTTTGGATGAAAACAAATGGACTGATGTTTCTCATCTGTCTTGCAGGAGTCTGAATAATGCTGATGGATGTCGGCTACAGTAACGGGCTGGAGCCTGACCTTTCCCAGCCATATCCTCCGCCCTTAATGCCAAAACCAGGCAAAGACAACGCAAGGCTTCAAAAACTCAAGAAGAAGAGAGCCAAGAAAAAAAATAGCCTCTCTCAGACACCCATCCCCTTTCGCTCCTGTTTGTCACCTGTCAACGAAGCAAGCACAGACCTTGAGCACAGTGACCAGTCCAGCCCACCAAGGACACCGGAATCAGTCTACATTGCAGACCCTTCAGTGTCCAGTTTCCCCTTTGACTCCTTCTGTGATCCGTTCGCATCTGCATTCCCTCACCCTCGGAGTAGCCCCTACCAGAAAACTGGCAGCTTCCCCACTCAGTCCTATATAGGTCAGATCAGGACTTCTGAAGAGCAGGTGGCTCCGCTGTATGAGTGCTCCTCTTTCTTATTTGATGACATGACTCCTTTCATTATGCCACCTTCGATTTCACCACCCCAATCACCACCTAAGCAGGTTCCACGAAACCCTCTTGCTTTCAATTCAAACCGGACACCAAATTCCCATCGGTCCGTCACAACAGTCCCTCCAGCCTCTGTGTCGCAATCCAGCCCTAAAATATCAACTCACAGTCTGACCCTATCCCCAGCCGCCCCCAACTGTGACCCAGGCCCAGCTCCTTCTCTGGTTGCAGACCTTCCTCCTCCTCCAGCACTGCTATCAGTTTCAAATTCTCAGATACAACCTATTATTTCCAGCCAGAGGGAGACAAACGCCTGTTCAAAAGACAACCCTGAAAGCCACCTAGCCTCTTGGACTACACGACCTAGTGGTAATGGCAACTTTGTTCCAAGCCAGATGTCTCCGGAGATAACCGCCTCAAAAATATCACTGGTTGATGCAGTGAAAGACACAAAGTCTGACGCCACACAAAACAGGGTTTACACATCCAAGGCAACATTTTATGAGATCTCTAAACCTCCCTCCATGCAGGACCTTACAGTTATAAATCCAAACTACCAAGCAGCATTGTTTTCTGACATACTAAGAAAGAAAACAGATGTGTCAGTGGAAACTGAAGAAACACTGAGTGTGCCAATGTCCCAATGTGGAAGATCTAAGACTACTTATTGTGTACCGGCTCGAGTTTCCACACCTTTCATTGAAATATCCAAACCTATCCCCCTTTTATTCGCTGCTTTCAACTCCTCCCAAGATCTACAAGCTCCTGCAATTCCAGAAGAAGCTCCGAGACAGAAATCAGTGATTCAAACGAGTGGTACAATTGAACCTCCAGCTGCCATAGAAGAACAGAAGCAGACTGATCACATTGATTACATTAGTAATATCAGACAAGCCAGCAATTACAAAGAGATAAATGTTCAAAATACAAGGAGTACAATAAATCTAAGCTTTGCTAATACTGAGCTGTACCCCAGTACCCCATCAAGTATGACTGCACTTGACTCTACCATGGTAAAACCAACACTAATACAACCAGTCATCCTTAAGCTACAAACAAACCCCGTTTTTGAAAGTGGAGCTACAACTGTGCCAACGGTCCCATCATTTTTATCCACTGTACCAAACCTCAACCCTACGCCAGTGATTTTAATGCAAGCACCATCCAGTCCAAGCCCCATTATCCCTTATCCTCCTCCTGCGGTCAATGCTCGCAAGTCTTTGTCATCACTTTTGGAGAGTCAAATGTCATTAGCAACCTCAAAGCCCAAATCAAGATCAACATATTACGGGCTTACTCCAACTCAGTATGCGGCCTATGGTGGGATAAAGACTGCCGCATCACATTACAGCCCTGCACCCCTCCGTGCAAATGAAATCTCTTCAGACAAAACACAGTCAGCTGTAGCTGTAGATGGAACAGACCTCTCAAAGCCTGATTCAACAAAACAACTAAATGGATATCAAGATCAACCATCTTCAATGGAGGTTTCTACTGCTAACATTTTAAAACTCATAAGGGATTCTGAGATTCCAGCTGATCGGACCATACTAAGTAGCAATGATGTGTTTGAGATCGGGTCAGAAGCTCAAAGTATTGGAATACAATCACTTAAAACATCTAAGGTGGACACAATAAAACCAGAGCTTCCTCTTGGCTTGGCACAGCAATCAATGCAACAATCCACAAGTGACTTATCCACACCAAAAGCCTCATTCTCTGAGGCTCCAATACCAATGCCTAAAGCAGGTGAGGTACACACACAAAATACGGCACTATTTTCTATAAAGGCAGAGATAAATACTAATCCATGCTTTACTGATAGCAGTAGTCTATCAAGTTTTCCTTCACCCTTAGTGAAAGTAGATTCAAATGCAGAAACATATCATGGTTCAAAGGGGATAGATGCCATAGAGAAAGGTGTTTATCTCGAGAAAATACCCACAAAAGTAGAATCCAAGATCACCAATTACAAACAAACAGAACAAGTACAGATAGCTTCGGTGAAGTCTTACCAGACTGCTAATGGAGTCAGTTCATCAACAGCAAATGGTCTGAATGTTCAACAAACTGACAAGCTTGTTAAAAACCAAGCTGACCGTGAAAAAAGTATTCAGTCTCTTGCCACAGATTTAGAGCCCAAAAACACAGGAAGGGCCATCATAAATGGTACATTTATCACAGGATTACAACAAGCCACCAATCTGGTTTCAGGAACACCACTGCCCAGTAGAGGGGCTCCTGAAACTGTTTTACATACACACAAAGAAGAAGTTAATCAGTGTTTCAAAGCAAGCAGTGGAGTTCCCTTACCCAATAAGGCTTCCACTGCAGAACTTACCCATGACAAAACAAATAAGGGGTCCAATTTCTCAAATATATTCTCCAAAGAATCAATTACCACTACCACAGGACCCATTTTTCCTCACGAACCTGTTATATCATCTGTATGTTCCTCACAGTATAGTATCTGCACAGCATCTGCAGCTGTCCAAAGCACAAACATCAATCAACAACTCAGCACTAAAGTTCAAATTAACAGAAAAAGTCAAGTGGAAGGCAACAAGATACATTTGCCTGAAGGTCTCTTAACATTTTCTCAAGCACCAAGTGTACCTAATACACCTGCTGTAAATGATAACTTAATGGGCAAACCTACAAGAGCAACCACACTACCTGACTTTTCTGTCACTGCAACCAAATCACCCAATATGTCAGGTTATACATTTCCTTTAGAAATGACCTCGAATGTGCCCACAAAAGACCCCCCAAAGCTAACCAAAACTGTTGAGAATGTACATCCAACCCCACAGAGTAGTAATGTATCCAATGGCAACCATAACGTTGTTCAAGAAGCAGGTTACTACAAAAACTCAAGCAGAGCCTTAGTAAAGACCACACAAGCAATTGAGACAAGTGTAAGTATCCCTGCTAAAGTTGCAATACTATCAAGCCAAGTCAATACAGAGCCTAAACTCCCCAACTCTAATAGTTCTGAAACTAACAGAGTCTGTAACTCAATATTTGATAAAGATTTTGAATCCCTATCCACTAATGCTATAGTAGACTTATTGACAGGAAAAACACCAACAGAGTGTATTCCCAGTCTACCTTTACGAGCAGAAAGCATTCAAACACAATGGGGTATTGAAACAAGACCAGGTTCTATTTTTTTTAAAGGAAACACAATGCAGCATATGCCTAGCAGTGAAACCAAACGGTCAAACAAACCATCTTCCAAACTATCCAACAAACCATCTGCCAAATCTCCAAACAAGCAGTCCGCAGGATTACCAACTGTCAGCAAGACTTCCACAGAGTCAGCTGGAAAACCAGGAAATGTAGATACTATTCAACACAGTAGACCTGCTGCAGAAACATTACAGTCAAACGAATCCTTTCATGGCAGCAATGTCCACAATGTTCTTGCAATTGAAAAAAGTCTTAGCATCCCTGCTAAAGGTGCAATACTTGCAAGCCAAGTTAATACAGAAACTAAACTCCCCACTTATTATAGTTTTGAAACTAATAGAGTCAGCAACTCAACATTAGACAGAGAATTGCAATCACTATCCACCATTAATAAAGTAGACTTATTGAGAGAAAAAACACCAACAGAGTGTATTCCAAGTCTACCTATTACAGCAGAAATTATTCCAACACAATGTGGTATTGAAACAAGACCAGCTTATAATCTTTTAAAAGGAAACACAATGCCACACATGCCCAGCAGGGAAATCAAACCGTCCAACAAACCGTCTTCCAAACCGTCTTCCAAACCGTCTTCCAAATCGTCCAACAAAACATCCAGTAAACAGTCTGCAGAATTACCAACTTTCAGCAAGACTTTCACGGTCTCAGCTGGACAGCCAGAAAATGTAGATGCTATTCAACACAGTAGACCTGTTGCAGAAAAGTTACAGTCAGACAAATACTTTTGTGACAGCAATGTCAGCAATATTCTTACAATTGAAACAAGTCTTAGAACCCCTGCGAAAGGTGCAATACTGTCAAACCAAGTTAATATAGAACCTAAAC